CAAACTTAATTCCTACCGTGGGACGTCAAACCCATTTAATTATAGTAGTACCTTCGTTCACAAACTTAATTCTTCCCAAGAGTCTGGGTTGAAAACCAAATTGGACAAGAAACAAATCAAACTTCTCCATGAGGTCAACACTGAACCTAATCACTGAATTTGATTCGTTTCTTGTCTGATTCAGTTTGAGACCAGAATTGTGGAAGGAATTAAATTCGTGAAGCCAGCTATCACTGTATCAGCACCACAGTTTCACTTGTGGGTCCTAAGAAACCAAAAGCAGTGCCAGGCATGGTGGTGCATGCCTATACAGTACTGTAACCCCAGCACTCTAGGTGGCGGAGGCAGGAGGAAAGCATTTTCTTTTTCTTTGCATGGTACTGGGGATTGAACTCAAGGTCTTCACATTGAGATATATCCCCAGGCCTTTCTTGAGACAGGGTCTTCTTAAATCACTATGTTGCCCAGGCTGGGCTCAAACTCACTCCTGCTCACACTCCCAGTATGCTGAGATTACAGATGTGCACATCACACTCAGCTCAAGGGAAGCTTTTAAAATTAGAATCTCTTTAACTAAGTTCAAGTGGATGTAATTCTGGCTTGGGTACTAAGTATGGCTAGGTGGCCCAAAGCTTCCAATCACACTTACCTTTGCTTGTTTACCCTCCATTACTGCCACACAGGAGTTGGTAGTGCCCAAATCAATACCAACAACTGCACCCTTGATTGCTTCTGATCTGTAAAATAATACCATGGTTAAATACTTTAATATTGGTCTCCAAAATGACAGAAATACATAAAAAACTTGATACGGGACATGTCTGTGACATATAATCTACAAATCAAAAGGATAATTATAAAAGACTAGTTAACCACATATGTACAGGCCACTACTCTGCGGTTCAATAGGTATTCTCTCAAAGAAAATGAAGTTATACTTACGCATAATCTCTGCTTGAAACAAATCTAAATGCCTCATGACTAAGGCCATTCCAGCCATCCTAAAAAAAAAAAAAAATTGCATTAGCCATCGACTACAGGGGCTTGTCCCAATTCTAAGGAAAACATGAAAATGTAGCTTCATTTTGCTGAGTAGCTATGCTGCCCAGTGCTCAGTGTACAACAGAACTATATACTAAACAACAAATTTTTCAAATAAACCAAAATTAAATAACTACTGTGTATATACAATTTTCTTAAATCACAAGGAGATTTTTCAACCCTGACATTACTAATCTTGAGCCAATTTTTGGAGTCTTGCCACATTGCCCAGGCTATCACCAAGTTTGTGATCCTCCTGCTTCAGCTTTTCAAATAGCTGGGACTACGAGCTTTGAGGCAAATTTTTACTGTGGAGAGCTGTTCTGTGCATTGTAGATTACTTAGAAGCAACCCTTGCCTCTGTACAACTAGAATCCAGTAGACATCCCTCTTCAAGTTGTGATATCTGAAATCTCCAAGACCTTCTTTGGGGGCAAAAGTGCCCCCAGGTGAGAAACTTACAGTACTTCTCAATAATGGTGTACTCCTTAATCTGAATATGTATTGAAGTACTCAATTTGTTATTCATTTTCTATGACCTTATCATTATTAATTTCGGTAATCACTTAAAAAAAAAGTTTAAGTTGGGCTGGGGATTAAGCTCAGTGGCGCAGCGCCTGCTCGGAAAGCGCGAGGCCCTGGGTTCGATTCCCGGTACCAAAAAAGAAGTGAAAAAAAATCCCCTAAAAAAAAAAAAAAAAAAAAAACTTAAATAATGACTTTCCACAAGGACAAAAGACCCTTCTTATAAAACGCAGACTACTTTGAAGATCCACATGTGAGTGGTCAGTTCACATTCCCATTCTCCAAAGATTTATTTTAGATAAACGCTACCACTCCATGACCTTTACTCTTTTCCGAAAACACAACAGTCATAGACCTAGGACTTTGAGATATTCCTAACCACGAAAATTTGAGTTGGAATTAATTTTCGGACTACTTCATTGGGTGCTTTTCTTCCTTTATCTCATCACAGCAAGAGCATGCTTGCTCAATCTACCGTGATGAAAAGAGAAACTACCTTCAGAGCTCAGGTGAAAAAAACCCTAAAATAGAGACTCCTAATTCACTGCATTGCTCTTCCCGAGGCCCAATCGACCTAACCCGCCACAAAACGGACCATCAAAGCCGCTACCTCTTAATTCGTTACTACTCTAGACCGCAAGGGCTGTGACTCAGCAAGTCTGAAGGCACAACCCCGAACGAGGTTTTCAGCTGGCAGCGCTAACTGCGAAGGGTACATTATCTTCCTCACCTTCCGGTATTTTTCAAGGAAATCTGACTCCGAAGGCCAGGGCCTGCTTACCTAGGCCTGAAGCGGCAAGCCCTTTCAGGAAGCCCCGGCAGTTCCTTACCTGGTGGCGGGCGACCGTGCCCCAGGAGGCGGCGGCCCCTACGAGACGGGCTGCTGCAGCTCGGCTGGCGCTTATCATGGCGGCTACACGGAGGGAATACGAAGAAGATAACAGCCGTTTAGGTGGCCGTAAACTGCGCTACGCGCTGGAAGCAACGCTTCTGGAAACCTCCAGCCACGTGGGGGCGGGTGCTAGTCACTGCAGCCCAGAGGCCCGCTCTTCCGCCGAGGCGCCGCCCGCGCTGCCTGAGCACAGATTACCGGACTGCAGCTCCCAGAAACATGGCGTGCCGATAATTTACTCCTTAGAATGATTATTGAAAAAACTTTGGCCTCTTGTTCCATCCGTGGCTGCTGCGGGATTGGTGAGAAGCGAAGGGAGGAAAAATGAAGGAAATTCAGGCAGTACATACGACAGGCCCGGTCCTTCGCAGCGGAAAGACTCAAGGTCACACGGGATAAATTGCGAATCGATTACAGGCTTCTTGCGTCAGTTGCGCAGGAGGAGGAGCCTGTTGCGCTTGCGCAGATGGCATCTGGCTAAAATCCTGTGGCGCGCGTGCGCAGGGAGTGGCGGAAAACAGCGTTGGAGACTACACCTCATTGGGTATCCGTAAGCGCACGAGAGTTTGGTTGGAGCGTAGCCCGGACGATCCGGCGCGCGTCCTTACAGTGCGTGTGGACGTTTTCTCTGCTTCCGGTCCGCGTGGAGGGCGCCATTTTGGGGCTTTGTTAATTGCAGATCTCCGAACTTCTATTGCTCTGTCCTAGTGTTTGATCACAATTTGAATATACTTGGATATGGAGACCTTAAACAATTTCATGCAGTATTTTTACCACTGGAGTTTCGAGTTTCAAAATTTTTTTTTTTGGTACCGGGGATCGAACTCGGGTCCTTGCTAGGCAGGCAGCGGAACTACTGAGCTAACTCCCCGGCTCTGGGTTTCAAATTTTTAAAGCAGCGTTTTCTTTGGTTTTTGGTGCCCAGGATCGAACTCGGGACCTTGCGCTTGTGAGGCAGGCCCCGGAACCACTGAGCTAAATCCCCGGCCCAAGCAGCGTTTTCTTTTTTTCTTTGGTACCGGGGATTGAACTCTGGTCTTTGCGCTTGCGCAGCAGGCGGCGAAACCACTGAGCTAAATCCCCGGCCCAAGTAGCGTTTTCTTTACATCCAGCTTTGAGTAGCTTTCGGGCTAACATTGGTCATAGATTATAGAGATTCTAGGAGTTTAAAAAACAAACAAACAAACCCGCCCACATCTTCCGTAAGTATCAGCTGTTATTGTCTTCACTAGTCTACTTAGGACTCTTTTTTTCCCCCCAGTTTCCTCAGAGGCCATCAAAATTATAGGCTCATCACCCATTTGTAGAGATTTATATACTAAAACAGTACGCAAGAGACCATAGCAATGACAAACACTATGAAACGTTGAAACAAAATACAAACGTTACAGCTTTACTTTGTATATGACCAGTAGAGCAGGTAAAAATAATTGAAGTAACTATTCTCCTAACTTTCCTTTTCTCTCAAGAGTTTTGTGCCAGAGATCCCTGTAGTCAGGTTCCAGTTCCCACCTGCCCAGTGTGTGAGGCAGGCCTGAGAAAAAATACACTTAAGAGACAACTAGGAGAGAAAGAGTGTCAGGACTACCAATACCAGTGCAACAGACAAAGGCGCTGGCCAGCCCCAGGCACTGACACTGGCAATCAACTGGGGTAAAGGCTACGTGTGGTTTCTAAGGAAATTAATGTAAAGGCTCAAACGACAAGACAAAGCATTCTCGAATTAGGAATAGAATAGACAAAATATATGGTTGTAATTAGAATGTCCTCCTAGTCTGAAGGTTTTAGTTGTGGGAAGAGAATTTGGGTGAGAGTTACTCTGACCTCCGCATGTGGACTTCAGCTAGACTCCTCAAAACAAGCCAATTGTGGGGTTAACTCTTTACAACCTGCTTTGGGCATAATCAGTATTATGGTCCTCTGCAGTTGTGCTTGTTATTTTTCCTTGCTTCATATACTAAAAAGCTATGGAGTATTTTATCAAAAGGATCTTAGAATCAAATGGTGTTATCTAAACACTGTTTAGGTTTAGGGTATCTGAGGCTCACGCCTGTATTCCCAGCACTTCGAAGGCTGAGGCAGGAAGATCCCAAATTCAAAGCCAACCCAGACGACCTAGAGAGACCTGGTAACAACCAACAATGACGAGGACGAAGTGATTGACTTTCTTCTTTGCAAATGCTCTCTATGGCCACAAGGGGGATATGGTAGCTAGTTAGAATGAAGGTTTTTATTTGCCAATGTGAAAGGCTTCTGGACTGCCTTGCAAATTAACATGGCTTACAGCCTAAAGGCTGGAAGAAATGAATCTGATTCTAAGAAAACATAGGGTTCAAATGAATGAGAATGGACAGATCCACAGCTAAGTGTTCTAATTGTTCACTATGAAGCACAGTGTTTCATTTCTCTGTCAGCATCTCAGTGTCACACTGGGAAATGGAAGGAGCTGGTGCATAATTTGCATGAGGGTAAATTTTATCAAACTGAACAGGTGACTGTCCAATGCCTATGCATGCTATATTTTTAATGATATTCTGGGGCCGGGAGTGTAGCTCAGTGGTAGAGTGTGTGTTTAGCATGCACAAGGTCTTGGGTTCAATCCCCAACAATGCCTCCCAAAGGTATTGTTCTAACTGATACGATTATTTTAGCATTTTTGATGACAGGTAACTGTTTCAACTTTCAAGTATTTAATGACCAACCATTAAAAGGGATTTTCATTAGAATAATAATCATTAGTACAGTAGTTGTTAAGTGCCTCACAGGTCCTAAATGTTTTATGTACATTATATAATGGCCCACAACATGGTCTCAAGTAAATACTGAATTTTTAGATATGAAGACTGAGGCTTAGAATGGTTTATATCTGTTACCTGGAGTTACTTAGCAATTGAATAAGGCCAGAATTTGAAGTCAGCGTGTTTAACTTCAAAACTTACACTACTGACCACTAGATTCTAATGCCTCATAACCAAATGGGATCATCTTTTACCTCTGTGTTCATAAATGTAAATGATGAGTTTTTAAACACTGGGCTAATCCATTAGTAACAGTTATTTTAGGCAGTGGAATAAAAAAAAGTTAGAAATATTTTTTAAATTTTAAATGTAGTTTAGGTTTCAGGAAAACCCTAAAGAAAGTGTAGGGTTGGGGCTGTTAGCTCAGTGGTAGAGTGCCTGCCTAGTAAACAGAAGGCCATGGGTTCAATTCCCAGAACTGCAAAATTACAACAACAACAAAGGTTGGGAGAAAATTTAGTCTGTAACACAACTCCTAGGATCAAGTTTGTATTTTTTAAAGAAAGTTTTTTTTCTTTTTAAACTGGTGACTCAGAAGATGTTTGATTCAGTCTCTCTAAAGATGAATATCATGCTGTAGCACCTTCCGTCTTCAGGGAATAAAAATGTAGCATACTGCAGGGATTTGTCACTTTTGTTCTCCTTGGAATTTTTCATGTTCCTGCAGCATATTTCAGGAGTAGTTCATACTTTTCCTATTTAGCATTCGCTTCACTATATTGGAGTACATTACACAGTGTTGCTTCGCTCAAGTCTGCTTCAACAGAGCTTGCCAGGGTGAAGAGGAAATATTATGTCGGGTGATGTCCCCAGGGGTGATGAAAATTAGCAGGTTTCATTCTATGCTAAGTTCCTAGTCACCCAGATAGCCTGCCAGCTTTCTGATAGGAGAAAAGAGAAATACAGGATGACCCTGATAGAAAAGTAAGGCAGCATAAATCAAAATAAAATGTCACTTTAATTAGATAGGACATTTACATTCTAGTGATAATGCAGTCATATTGTACAAGGTAAAAAGCAGTTTTGCTCTGGGTTTTCATTTAGATATGGAAAGTAGTTGGCTGTGGGAGATAAAGGATCCATATAAGAATCCCCTATTTGAGGAAAGAATGGGGCTGAGAAAAATCTGAGATTTGTTGTTTATAAAAATCTATGTAGGGCAGGGGATTTAGCTCAGTGGTTCCACCACCAGCCTCTCAAGTGCAAGGTCCAGAGTTCGATCCCCGGTACCAAAAAAAAAGCCTTTGGATTCTTAAAATTTAAATAGATTTTTTTTTTTTGGTACTGGGGATTGAACTCTGGACCTTGCGTTTCAGAGGCAGGCAGCAGCACCATTGAGCTAAATCCCTGGCCCAAAGGCTTTTTTTTAGGCAGTTTTGCTACATAGCTCAGGCTGCCCTTGAAGTCATGGTCCTCCTGAGTGCTAGGATTACAGATGTGTACTACCATGCCTGGTCTCAGTAAGGTCCTTTTCTAAAGTGTTTAGCTTATTTATTTATTTGTGATACAGGGCACTGAACCCAGGGCCTTTGCACTGAGCTACATCCCAAGCCCTTAAAAAATTTATTATCATTATTATTATTATTGTTTGGAGACATGATCTCACTAAGTCACTAAATTGCGCAGATTGGGCTTGACCTTGTTATCCTCCTGCCTCAGCCTGCCAGAGTGATGGGATTATAGGCATGGACGACCATACCTGACCATATTTTTAAAGTCTAAATAGCCACAATTTTCATTTATTCTTGACCAGCATGGTATAGTGAAAGAAATCTTGAAATGAGAGTTGAGCCAGAACTTGAGTTCCAGGTACACACAAAGGACTCAGAGAGAATTTAAAGAGCACAGAGAATCAATAAATTGTCCAGTGTCACACTAACAGTGTCAGCTTCTGCTCTGCAGCCTCCTTGTGTGAGTGTGTGTGTGTGTGTGTGTGTGTGTGTGTGTGTGTGTGTGTGGAGGGGCAATACTGAGATTAAACATAAGGCTTTTGCAATGAGCTACATCTTCAGGGCTTAAAAAAAATTTTTTTTTAAGGACAGGGTCTTGTTAAGTTACTGAGTTGCCCAGACTGGGCTTGAATTTGTGATTCTTCTCAGCCTCCCAGAGTGCTGGGATTACAAGAATGAGCTGCCACACCTGTTCAGCCTCCATTTTTTACTTGGTATGCTTTTTTAGAAATCACTCACATGGCTTCAGATTATTCACACAGTACAGGACCTTTTTCAAACGTTTATAGACAACTCATATCCTCTCTCCTGTTCCTTACAGCACATGATTAGTGAAATTATGTCAGCTGTCTTCTCACTTTGCCTGGATTACCTCCTCTATGGTGAGGGGCTGATGGTTTTTGTTATAGACTGAAAATTTATGTCCCCATAGTTAATATGATAAAGCCCTAATCACCAGTGAGCTAGTGTTTGGAGATGTGTAATTAGATCATGAGGATGGGCCCTTTAATGGAATTAGTTAGAGAGGTATGAGAAAAACTCTTTCTTTCCTCCATGAAGAGAGATCTCAGTAGGACCCAGCCATGTCCTGATCTCAAACTTCAACCTCCCGAACCACAAGAAATGAATTTCTGGCCAGGCATTGTGGCACATGCCTGTAATCCCAGCACTGGAGAGGCTGAGGTCGGAGGATCATTGAGCCAAGCTGGGCTGCATAGTGAGTTCAAGGTCAGCCTGAACTACATAGTGAAACCCTGTCTAAAAAAAAAAAAAAATGGAAGAAGAAATGAATTTCTGTTGTTTAGTGCAGATATTTTGCCTGAGCTGCTCTTCAACTTTCAGGAGAGGTATGTTAGCTTTTCCTTACCGGGACAAAATACCTGAGAGAAACAAAGGGGGAAAAGTTGATTTTGGTTGTCCGTTTCAGAGGTTTCCCTCCATAGTCAGCTGGTTCCATTGCTTTCAGGCCCATGGTGAGGCAGAAAGGTGTGGTAGAGGACCATTGCTCACGGCGGCCAGGAAGCAGAGAGAAGGAAAAGAGCAAGAGAGGAAGGGGATGGAAACAAGGAATACCCTCAAAGGTGCACCTCAGTGATCTGCTTCATGCTAGCTCACATGTTGATGAGGTTGGTACCCTCCTGGTCCAGTCACCTCTCTTAAGTCCTACCTCTGGGCCTTGCTTCACTGGAGCTCAAGCCACATAACTGTCAGGGAGGACACTTCATGTTTAAACCACAACAGATTTCCCTGGGCAGTGAGGGTTAATGGAAGACTAGCTGGGAAGCACGGGCCTGATCTCAACACTCAGATCAGAATCCTGGAAGAATAGGGTGGCTTTGTGGCAGGACCAGTAAGGCCCAACTTCCTCTCAGAAATGGGCTTCATGTTTGGTTAGTAGTAACTAACTCAGCCCTTTTTGAATTTGGCATTTGTTGTTGTTTTTCTGTTCTTATTTTTTGTTTGTTTGCTTTTTTTTTTGGTGCTGGGGATTGATACTAGAGCTTTGCACATGCTAGGCAAATGCCTTACCACTGAGCTACACCCTCAGACGCATATCTGCTTCTCTAGTTCTCCTACTGCAGTGGCATGAAGAGCCCTGGCCCACCCCTCATATTCAGGTATTGTGGATCTGAGGTGGGCAAGGAATCTCTGTGTTTAACAGGCTCCACAGGGGATTTTGTTGAGGTGAGATTAAGGGCCATATACCTTATTTGAGAACATCCCGAGCACTATGATGTCTTCTTGTCTCTAAACTTTTCATTACCCATCTCTATTAGAAAAATGTGTGAGGGAATGGGATATAGCTCAATGGTAGAGTATGTGCTTAGCACGCACATACAAGGCCCTGAGTTTAATCTCCACACCACACACACACAATTTTTGAGCATATACTCCAAGATGTATATATTTATAAGCTACATACATGTGTGTAGGATCTTTATTAAATATATATGAAAGTATAGAATAAAAATGGAAAAGATATAGATTTGAATATATCTTTTTCTTTTCTGTGTGTGTGTGTGTGTGTGTGTGTGTGTGTGTTTGTGTGCGTAGCTGGAGATTGAACACAGGGCCTTGCACATGCCAGGCAAGTGTTCTACCATTGAGCAACATCATCAATCCCCTTTTAAAAATCTCTCTCTCTATATTTGATTTTTATTTATGTTTTAGTGCCGAGGACCAAACCCAGGGCCTTGCACTGCACTCTACCACTGAGCTAAATCCCCAACCTCACTTTTTTTTCATTAAGTTTATTGGTACAGGGCCAGGGATTTAGCTCAGTGGTTTTGCCACCTGCTGTGCAAGTGCAAGGACCTGAGTTCAATCCCCGGTACCAAAAAAAAAAAAAGAAAAAAGTTTATTGGTACATTTTAGGTATATAATACAGTTACATTCATCGTTGGGATCTTGTACCTGTACATGATATATCTTGGTTCTTATTTTTTCCCCATTTCCTTGTCCTCCCTTCCCTATTTACAAAGACTTTGTTTCCATTTTTTCCTTTTCTCATATTTTTTTCTTTTCCCTTCTTTCCTTTCCCCTACCCGTCCCACTTCCCCTACTCCCTTAGACCTTTTCTTCCTCTTTCACATTATCAATTATACCATTTGAACCTTATTTACACTTTTAGTTTTTCACTATTTGGTATTTACATATGTGTGTTTATTTCACTTAAGAGTATGGCCTTGCCGGGGATTTAGCCCAGTGGTTCCGTCGCCTGCCTCGCAAGCGTAAGGACCCGAGTTCGATCCCCAGTACCAAAAAAAAAAAATGTTAAAGAGTATGGCCTCAATGTGCATCCATTTAGCTATACATGTCTCAAGTTTCTCATTCTTTATGGCTGAGTAGTACTCTATTTTATAGAAAAAGCACATCTTCTTTATGCAGTCTCCAGTTGATAAGCATTTGGGCTGTTTCCAAGTTTTAGCTATTACAAACTGTGCTGCTGTAAACATATATGATTCTGTTAATTCTGTTAATTCTTTTGGGAAGATACCCAGCAGAGGGATAGCTGGGTCAAATGGGACCTCTAATCCTAGTTTGTTTGTTTGTTGTTGTTGGGTTTTTTTTTGGTACCGGGGATCAAACTCAGGACCTTGCGCTTTCAAGGCAAGTGCCGGAACCACTGAGCTAAATCCCTGGCCCTCTAATCCTAGTTTTTTGAGATATCTCCATATTGGTTTCCACAGTGGTTGCACCAGTCTGCGGTCCCACCAATAATGGAGAAGGGTTCCTTTCTCCCCACAGCCCTGCCAACATTTGTTATAGGTTGATTTCTTGATAGTAGCCATTCTTTCTGGGGTGAGGTGGAGTCTCAGCATTGTTTTCATCTGCAACTCTCAAATGACCAGTGATGTTGAACATTTTTTCATATATTTATTTGCTGCTTTTACTTGTTTGTCTGAGAAATGTCTGTTCATTTCAGATGCCCATTTTTGAATCAGGTCTTTATATTTGGGGGGTCTGAGTTTTTTGAGTTCTTTATATATTCTAGATAGTAAGTTGATTTTTTGTGCAAGTTCCCATGCTACTGAGGATTTGTTCATAGTCTTTTCCTATGCCAATGTCTTTGAGAGTTCTACCTAACTTATCATCCAGCAAGTTTAGTGTTTAGTGTTATCTTCCAGCAAGTTTTTTGTTTTTGTTTTTGTTTTTTTTGGTACCGGGGATCGAACTTGGGTCCTTGCGCTTGCGCAGCAGGTGGTGAAACCACTGAGCTAAATCCCCAGCCCTCTTCCAGCAAGTTTTAATATTTAGATCTTTAATCCACTTCAATTTTAGTTTAGTGCTTGGTGAAAGATAGGGACCTAGTTTTAATCTTTGACAGGTTGAAATCCAGTTTTTCCAACACCATTTATTGAAGAGGCTATCTTTCCTCCAGTGAGGATGGTTGGCTCCTTTGTCAAAGATGAGGTAGCTGAGTATGTCTGGAGTTGTTTCTGTATCTTCTAATCTATTCCACTGATCCTCGCCCAACCCCACTTTTTGAAACAAGGTCTTGCTAAATTGCCCAGGTTGGCCTTGAAGTTGGGATCCTCCTGTCTCAGCCTTCTGAATAGCTAGGATTACAGGCATGCACTGCCATGCCGTTGTTTGAATATTTCTTTCCTGTAATCCTATGTATCCCCTAGGCTGCTTGCATCTCCCTTGTTACCTTCTCTGTAGTCTTGAATTACACCATCCTGTATGGAATGTCTTTAATAGGCAGAGTAGGGGCCTGCTAAAGGGCCAAATTATTATTATTATTTTTGAGACAGGGTCTTGCTATATAGTTCAAGCTGGCCTTGAATTCACTTTGTCGCTCAGGCTGACCTCGAACTCACAGCGATCCTCCTGCTTCAGCCTCCCGAGTACTGGGATTACAGGCATGCACCACCACAACTGGCCTAGAAATACTATTTATTTTGATACTTTGTGGATTTTTTAAAAGTGGTACTAGAGATTGAACCCAGGGCCTTCACACTGAGCTCTTTTCTTAGTTTTTGTTTTGAGAAAGGGTCTCACTTTTGCTAAATTGCTTAGGTTGTATTCAAATCCACTCTTTTTTTTTCTTCTTTTTTTGGTTCTGGGAATTGAACTCAGGACATTGTGCTTGTGAGGCAGACAGCGGCACCACTGAGATAAATCCCTGGCAACTTAGGTTGTGTTCAAACTTGCCTATTTGAGCCTCAGCCTCCCAGAGTACTGGGATTACAGGTGTGCACCACCATGCCCAGCTTGTCACTTTGTGTTCTGGGTTTTTTCCTTACCGTTACTGTGTCTTGTCTAAGGATCTCTGCATGCCAACCTGGGACCATATAGTTGTCATTCTTAAAGGCTGTCCACATAATCTTTTTCTTTAAATACATAAGTTTATTTCACTGAATCCCCTTCTTACCTTTTCTATTCTTTGGTAGGGTATAGGGAGAAATCTGCTGCATTTCTAAAGTTCTCTGAAAACAAGTCGCATTTCAGAACCAAAATCAGCATTTGATTTTCTTCACTTTGGGGGTGTATTCAGGAGGCCATTGGATACAACAAGGTATTGAATTGTCTTCTCTGAAGAATACATCTCTGGGTATGGCTGGGCCACTTGATGAGAAATCTCAGCAAGAGGCCACAGACACCATACTGAGGAAAAAATTAAACCGACGGTGCTTGATATATCCAAGGAGTCTCTTAGGTTCTGTCTATTACTGCAGCGCTGAAAACATAGACATAGTTCAGTACTGTGATTAAAGTGACTTCTGGTGTTAGCCTCTTTGTTCATGAGATATAGTGGTGGGCTGTGGCCATTTCATCATTTGAGGGTATAATGGTTAGCTAAAGATATTTTTCTCCAAAGGGCCAGTTATTTCTTTAGTTTTTCTCCAAAACTCAGCTTCAGCAGGAAGGAGCCATAAATTCTGTGACATAGCTGCCTTCTTATCTGTCTTGGGAGTTATAGACTATACATATAAGACAATTCATGTTCCTCTGCATAATGAGGTGAGTTTTATAAATCATAAATCTTCACTTAACATGCAGGTGGGTGCCAGGTTTAGAAAAACTGATGTAGTTGCCAGGTTCATGAATGTCATAAATCATTCATGCTAAGGTAGCCCAGAGTCATGCTGTGTCCTCTGAGGCAGACCAATTTTAAGGTGGTTGTTAAACACAAAAATGTGAGTCTCCATGATTGTTTTTCAAAATCAAATGTGCTTATTTGAAGATTAAAACCAAGTTACCTTTTTTTAGTTGAAGTCAGTTTTCTGACACCCTTCTTTCACCTCAAAAAACTTAGTAATAATCTTTTCTTCCCTGATCCCTGAATCCTATCAGAAATACATCACAAAATACATTACCTGTACATTTGCAATCTAGATCTTTAATGTGCTGAAAATGAGATTTAGACATTTCAATAAATCTTGGGGTATATTATTAGGAAAAAAAAGCCTCTGGAGTTTTAGGGGTTATTTTCTTCTGCTTCTATACCTTACATGAAGTTGCCATGAATTAAAGATACCCTGTGGTTAGGAGGCAGGTATGGATGGCCCTCTGCCATACTGCCTGTCTCTTCCAGGCAAAGGCAGCGAGGGGTAGGGCCAAGAGAGAAGTGAGCCCAGGACAGCAGACTCAAGGTGGTGCAGCATGTATGTGCTGCTCTAGGTTCTACACTTTGCCCAGACTCCTGAACTGAAGTGGTTTTATTCTGAGAGTTCTTCACATAGTATATGCAGAAAGGAATGAAGTTGGCTATTATTAATATTATTATTATTGAAGAAAACCTGTTATTACTTTTGGTGAGATGCCCTGAATGAGAAAAACAGAGAGCAAAATGGTTTTGCCTGAGGTTTCCTGAGAGTATATAACAGGGCCATGCAGCAGATAACATGTGGGTTCTTCCCTCTGATGAACCTCAGAAGTCTAACAGCTGCATATCCTGTGTTCATTATGTGCGCAACCTGACCTTGGTTAAATATTATGGGAGCTGGTCCCAGGCAGAGCATCTTTTTCACTGAATGCAGTTGAATTTTCATCTATGTTATGGCTTGGATGTGGTTTGTCCTCCAAAGGTTTGTGTGTTGGAAGTTTGCACCAAAAAAAAAAAAAAAAAAAAAAAAAAGAAAGAAAAAAGAAAAAAAAAGGGCTGGGGATTTAGCGCAGTGGTTCCTGAGCCTGCCTCACAAGCGCAAGGTCCCAAGTTCGATTCCCGGTACCAAAAAAAAAAATGGAAATTTGGTCTCCATGTAGTGGTGTTGAGGTGCTGGACTTTTAAGAGATGGGGCCTAGAGGGAGTTGTAGGTCTTGGGGCACTGCTTTGAGAAGGGGTTAATGCAGAATGAATCACATCTCACAAGAGCCGATTGTTATACAGTGAATATACCCCATATTTCTGGCCTCTTCAGCACCTAGCCAACTCCTTTTCCATTTCTCTGTCATATTATGATGTAGCCAGAATGCTCTCACCAAAACCAAGCAAATACCATACTCTTGAACTTCCAAAACTATAGTCAAATAAATATTTTTTCTTTATAACATATCCAGCCTCAGGGTTTTTGCTATAACACCTCAAAACAGACTAATACAGTCTTTAATCTTTGAATTCTAACTCTGATGTTTAGAAATATCTCATTATGAATTTGCAAAATCATATATTATAATTGAATTAATTGAATTTTTTGTAATTGAATTAATCTTATGAAAATATTGCTAAGCTTGTTTCCTGCCAACTTCTGTGGCCCTCTTTTCTCCTCTCCCCTGAAAGCTCACCATTTTTTTATGCCTCCATACTTTGTGCATATTTCCCCTAATGTCTAGAAAGCTCTTCTCTTTCTTATCCAGATGTTGAATTTCTACTCATCCTGTAAAATTCACTTAAATCTCACCTTCTCTTTCAGGTCTTCACTGGCTTCCTGAGGCAGAGCTTGTCACTCAGTCTTCTGTGCTTTTAGAACATTTGTTTACAGTTCTGTCATGATACATCACAGGGGATTTAATTTTTGTTGACATGTTCATGCCTTCCACTGGACATTAAGCATCTCAAGAACAAAGTTTTAGGGCCGAGGATTTAGCTCAGTGGTTCCGAAGCCTGCCTTGCAAGCACAAGGACCTGAGTTCGATCCCTGGTACCAAAAAAAAAAAAAAAAAAAAGGAACAAAGTTTTAGTAACCTCAGTATTCCTACTACTGTTGTGTCTGACACAGAGTGGAAACTGACTAAATATCCTTTTTTCTATTATACTGTGCACCTGAGCACTAGCATAGATAGCCTCGGGAGAGAACAGAGTGTTTTAAAGTTGTATTTTATCATAACTTATAGATGCTAAGATAATGCATAAAATATTTATCTGTTTCCTATAGGAATGCTTAAGGATAGAAAGTAACAGAGCCAGGAGAAACTTCCTGGATTCTCAGGATGTCCTGGGATTTTCTGTACATTCTGGGTAGGTCAAATCCTATTCTTAATTCCTACATAATATCACTATAACTTTTATGTGCTTTCTTTCAAGGTCTCCATATATAGCCCAGGCTGGCCTGGAACTTGCCATCCTCCTGCCTCAACCTACTCAGTGCTGGAATTGTGGGCATGAATCAGCTTGAACTTTTATGTCTTTGTTTTCTCATTGCACTCATTTTAATCTAAGTCTTATTCTTTCTCACTTGAACTGTAACAAATATAGCAGGTATGATGTTCAGTTTAGAAATTCATATGTGTAGGAAGTACCCCATTTATTTATATTCTTAAATAAAGGTAAACTACAATTATATCCTCTTATCTCATCTGACTGGTGGAAAGTAAACCTCACCTATTTCTCATCCTGAGGATTTTGTACTTTGTGTGAAATTGGAAGGGAATTTGAGTTGCAGATTGTCACTGAGACAGCTGCTATCCTACCAGGCACTCTGTCCTTTCAGGTCCAAATACTGACTCCCTGCTCTTCATCCTTGTCTTTTTTAGGGATTTTTGTTGTTGTTGTTGTTGGTACCAGGGATTGAACTTGGGACCTTGCGCTTGTGAGGCAGGCAGGGGCACCACTGAGCTAAATTCCCGGCCCTTTAGGGATTTTTTATGAGGTCAGGGCCTTGTCTCCTAGATGTACATGGTCAGTCCTCTCCGGAGTCTCGAGCTCTCCTTGGGAGATGGCCGGGAACAAAGCCTGGGTTTCCCTGTTCCAGTCCCTGCACACTGTCCTTATTCTCAGCTCAGGAAAGATTTCTTATCTACATGGAGTGTTTTCCTGCACATGCCGATCTGAGGGTACTTTCCTCAAGTGCCAGCCTCTCTCTTATTCTTTTATAGTAGTCTTTTAGATCCCAAACCCCTATCACTATGGCCACAAAGCAGTTATTTTACCTTCAGGTCCATGTGTCTACCCTCCTTGTGTAGATTTGTGAGCTTCTCAGCCGCAAAGACTGCTGCATTCTTTTTGTTGTTGTTATTGTTATTGTTGTTGTTTTACTGGGGATTTTTTTGTTTGCTACTATTATTGTGTCTGATACAAAGTGGAAACTCAGACTAAATATCCTGATTGTTTGTTTATACTGGAGATTGAGCCCAGGCTTTCACACTGAACTATATCTTTAGTCCTTTTTCATTTTCTCTCTTTCTTTTTTTTTTTTTGGTACCAGGGATCGAACTCGGGTCCTTGCACTTGCGCAGCAGGTGGTGAAACCACTGAGCTAAATCCCCGGCCCTCTTTCTTTCTTTTGAGACAGGTTCTCCCTATGTAGTTCAAGCTAGCGAGGCTGACCTCAAACTTGTAATGATTCTCCTGCCTCAGCCTCCCAAGTTTTGGAATTATAGGCATGTGCCACTACACTTGCCTCATTTCCTATTTTGTGACAGGGACTCATTAAACTGCTAAGTTTCCCAGGCTAGGCTCAAACAGGCAACCTTCCTGCCTCAGCCTCCCAGAGTACTGAGATTACAGGTGTGTGCTACCACATCCAGCTTCAGAGACCCACACATTCTTATATCCTAAGGCACCATCGGGCTCATCATAGTGTGGGGTATTTATTAAATGCTGATGAATGATGATAATGATGATGATGACATGAACAGGGGACCCTTCCTGAGCACACCCAGCTCTGCTGTATAATGAAGGTCAGGAAAATGAAGGGGCCAGGTCTCATTACTGTGTACAGATGCGTTCCGCTTGTTTGTATCACCCCGAGTAGGGTCCTTGTCCTTCTGCCAGCACAGGAAGAAGCACTTGCCCTAATAATGACGTCCAGGTTCCATTTGTCAGAGTGAACAGGTGAGAGCTGCTCTGGGGAGTGTTCACTCTGGCTTTGCTGTTCCGGCCTCTGTGTAGGCTGTTTTGCCCAGCCCTCAACAGCAGGTTTCTGTTACTATGCAAATGAGGCGAGGCAGGCCCTCTTGAACAAACCAACCTCCCTGACACCTGCTCAGAGTCATTATCCTTCCAATGAGCTGTGCTTAATAAACATGAATGACTGTTGCCCGCTTTTTGGCAGGCCTGTGAGGAGTCTTCATGCAGGCTGCCCAGAGCCAGCTCCAGCTTGCACTCTGGGATCAGAGAAATGGAACCAAGAATGCCCTTGCCTCAGCCCTGGAGGCTTAATTGACACTTAGTTCACTTGTTCCCTTCCATCAGCCTCCTGTGACCTCGTGCTAGCCCTTTCTGGCCTCCATGTGTAGGGAATGGGCAGAGAGGATTCCAGCATCACCCAAGTGGTGGGACTAGATAACCTTTAAAATTCCTTTGAATTCTGTGAGTCTTTGATCCTGTAATTTTCACTTACCAGTTTCTTAATTGGCATTTAAAATCCCCAGCTTCCTACTGACTTTTTCAAACCCCTCACCTTAATCTATTTCCCCTGATAGATTTACTCAGCCACACAAGGCCTTCTTTTGGCTACACAGACCATTTCCTTGAAGGTGTGGTTTCAGCATTTCCATACCCTGTCTCGTCCCCAGATCATGCTTCTCTTCACCGACCATTTGTCTAACCCTACTTAGACTCCAGATGTATGTGGATGTATAATATATATGTATATTCATCCTGTCTATCTGTCTATCTTTCTGAGTTCTGGGGATTGAGCCCAGGGCCTTGCACATGGCAGGCAAGTGCTCTATCACTGAGCTAAACCTTAGGACTCCACAGGTCCCAACTTATGTGTTACTTGTGTAGGCCAGCTTGTCTAAGCCCTAGAGTAGATTGAATTGTTAATGCCTAGACAGTCCTGCATATTATTGTTCATAGCACTTTCTCCACTTATTAAATGTTCATTGAACCAGCTGACTCTGCTCCTCATCTCAATCGGGTATGTACCGTGCTGTTCACTCCTGGATTGGTTTAATGCTGCTTTTCTGCTGTTTGTGTTTATGCTCATCTGTTTAATGTTAGCTGTCTTAAGTTGTACATTCCTCGGGGACAGAGAATCCATGTATGCAATTTTCTTTGTACAGTGCTTTATGTGGGTGTATGTGTATCTCCTCCCATGACTGTAGAGAAAGATCGAGATGGTAAAATAGAAAACAGCAGTAAGTCTACCATGGAGGAAACTTTGAAACTCTGTTGGAATGAATTCTGAGCTTCTGTGTCATCCTTGAAGATGGATAGGGTACAAAGGATGGGGTGTGGGGGTGGACTGTGGCAGCACAGGAGGTTCTAGGACCAAAAGTAGTGTGCTCAGAGCTGAGGTTCATACTGCAAGGTGAAAGAAGGAGGGGAGAGAGAGGATGCTTCAGGAAGGGGAGAAGTGGACAGAGCTTGAAGCTAAAGGCCTCATTTTCCACCAGTTCATCAAAGCACTGTTAAGCCAAGAAGAGCCTTTAGTTCTGACCACATTCCTTGTTTTTCTTGTTGTGACCCTGTTAGTGGTGTTATATTATGTTTAAAATAAAGTTTGAAGAATAACTTTTTTTTTTTTTTAACTGGGAATCAAACTTGGGTCCTTGCGCTTGCACAGCAGGCAGCGACACCGCTGAGCTAAATCCCCGGCCCCCAAAAGAATAACTTTTATAATTGTAACAGAAGTCATGGGGATGATCATAAGAGAAATTCCTCTCCTCCCCTTCCCTACCTTTAGGGGGCTAGAGATTGAACCCAGGGCCTCACACATGCTAGGCAAGCACTGTATTACTGAGCTACAGCCCCAGCTCATTGTTTTTTTAAACCCTCTCATTAGTGATAATCCAACTCTACTCCAAAACAAATATTTTTCTGGGTCCCCTGTAGGTATTAGACGGTCCTACAATTCATTTTTTTTGTAAAATGATTTCAGTTAGGGACTTAAAATGTTCAGCCTGGGCCAGGCGTAGTGGTGCATGCCTGTAATCCTAGCATTTGGGAGGCTGAGGCAGAAAGACTGCCATGAATTCAAGGCCAGCCTGGGCTACACAGTGAGTCTAAGGCCAGCCTGAACTACATAGTGAGACCATGTCTTAGAAAAAATGTTCAGCCTGGTATTGTCATTTGCAAATGTTTTCTACCTTAAGCTATTTGTCTCCCCCATCTGGAAGCTGCTGCAAGTGAAAAGAGAGGGTGTAGTCTTTCCTGATGTTTCTATTCCATGTCAGGAAATATTGTACTTGTCTATGTTGTCTATTTTGCCAAAGCTGGCATTGTATTCTACAGGCATTTTCTCCCTGGGCACTTTCATATGTTCTTCAGAAATCTGCACTCCCCTACACACACACACACACACACACACACACACACACACTCACACACTCACACTCACACACAGATGATCTGGGCAGATGAATTCTTTTCTGCTAGTTGTTCTTTCCCTTTACGGCCCCTAATAATTCAAAGTCCATTCTTATTTTCCTTCTTCTGAGGTCTGTTTGTCCACTGGTAGTCTTGTTGGGCAGGATCTAAGAGGATCTTCAAGCTAGGTGTGGTGGCACACACTTGTAATCCTAACTACTCAGGGGGCTGAGGCAGGAGGATAGCAAGTTCAAGGCCAGCCTGGGTAAGTTAGAGAGGCCCTGTCTCAAAATAATAAAATAAAATAACGGGAGATATAATGTAGCTCAGTGGTTGCCCAGCATGCTCAAGTCCCTAGGTTCAATCTCCAGCACCAATAAGTAAGTAAATAAATAAGATCTCTAGGCCATCTTCCAAGCAAGTAGCCCACTTCAATTTGGTGAAAAACAGGTCCTTTTGAGACTCATGTCAAGCTTTCTGAGCATTAGCCTTGAAGTCTTCACATTAGGCTTGTGGTGAAACACAGGCTCCTCCATTTCTTTGGATGGGGGTGCCCATAGCACACCAATTCTTTTCACCAAATAAATTATTTTTAAAAATACAGGCGGGGATTTAGCTCAGTGGCACTGTGCCTGCCTCACAAGCACAAGGTCCTGAGTTTGATCCCTGGTGCAAAAAAAAAAGAAGAAATCCACTAGGCACATGCCTGTAATCCCACCGACTCAGGAGGCTGAGGCAGGAGGATTGCAAGTTTGAGCCCAGCCTGGGTAACTTAGTGAGATCCTGGTCTTGGGTTCAATCGCTAGCGCTGCAAAAAAATTATCTTAATATCTAATAGTATCTTTTTACCCTTGATATGAATGAAGGTTTAGAGTTCCATGACTGATTTTCAAGTGTTTTCTATGAAAATTTGCATTTTTGCTGGCATTTTACTTAGGTACAACATGAATACTACAAATTGGACTCTCTGCTGAAACTTTCAAATAACATAGTGTAGTGACTGTAGTCAAACAAGTGATTCCAAGAACCAAGTAATTAACTTCTGAGTAAGGCTAGGTAATAACGTTGTTCTCTCTTCTATCGAGGAAGCATAGTTGTCCTCATCTATAAAATGTACCCCTCATCCTTTCCTTGCCTTAGAGTAGATAAATATGAAGTGTGAACATGAAGATCACTGTGGATGGACAGCCAGCTCTGGGGAATAAACAATCTGCAGAATCCTCTTTTCTAAAGGTGGCCAGTAGAGATGAAGGGCCTGATGGAAAGGGGAAAATGCCAATTTTATCAATTTTTCTAAATTTCACCCTCCCCCCTCCCACCCCTACTGTAGTTTGGAGGTGACTTCAGATATGGAGGTCTTGGGCTGGGGATTTAGCTCAGTGTTTTCGTCACCTGCTGTGCAAGCGAAAGGACCGGAGTTCGATCCCTGGTACCAAAAAAAAAAAAGATATGGAGGTTTCTGCTAGAGCCACAAAGAAATGCCTGGCCAGAGTAGGTCCTTCCCTGGGTCCTGTTAGAGAGGCACAGCTGTTATCAGCTGTGTTCGTGTTTGTGTCATGTTCATGTCTCTGGATCTAAGGGAGGAGAGGGAGATGTCATTACTTTGACAAAGTGGCTGAGTATCTTTATCATGATAAAAAGACATCTCAGTCTCCTGATTCAGAGCCAGAGCCAGCTTTGGAAGGAATTGAAAGGCTCCAACCTGGAGCTGCTGTCAAGCCAGCAGATGGAGTCCCAGCCCTTCTCTGGGTGACTCTCAGATCACCTGGGCTGGTATTTGAGGTGAGGCTTGGGCCCAGCTCTGTAGCCAGAGGGGACTGGAAATGAATAAAAATGAGTGCACCGCATTGCCATAACTGTTGTCTTGTCTGCAGAGGAGTTTGCTAAAATATGATCCTAGGGAGGCTGTTTTCATGTGCCTCGTTGGAATTACTGCAGAAGTAATTGTAAGGAGTGTGTGGTTGTATGCCTGAGATAACCAGAGGACGTAAGAGACAGGAAGATGTACAAATGACAGAACCACATCCTGGGTAGTGAAGAAAAATGCCACGATTCCCTCACACCTGGAAAACCTTGAGGGAAACTCAGGGATATGAGTGACTCTTGATGGGAAAGAGCAACCTTATGAGGAACATTTGGACAAGGAAGCTGACTTAACATCTGCCAAACTCACTCCTCTCTGAATTGCAGGCACTGCAGGACCTCATTAAAATCTGTAGACTGCTTAAGAAATGGAGTTGGGAGTAGTAGAATTTAAGCTAGGTATGGTGGTGCAGTGCTGTAATCCTAGGACTGTGGGAGGCTGAAGCAGGAGAATCACAAATTTGAGCCCAGCTTAGGCAACTTAATGATCTAGCAAGACCCTTCCTAAAACAAAAAATCCAAGCCGCCCCCCACCAAAAAAATTTCCCCGAGTCTTCCTAAGCACTCAACAAATAGCTAGATAGATGGCTGCTCTTAATAAATACTATAGCACTCACTCTAAACTCTCTGTCCCTCTCCAGCCTACAAGACATCTGTGAACTGGAGAGCCCTCATATCATCTCATAGCTTCAAAACAGAGGAGGAACAGTGAATGGCTTCCTACTCCCTGAAGGCAGGCAGGGGTTGTGTCTCTCCTGTGTGACTTCCTTTATCCAAATAGCCCAAATCCCAAAATAGAGGTATAATAGGGGCTCAGCAGGATGACATCCATAATTCAAGGCCTGACTATTGCTGACTGCACAGAAAGTTAGAAGGAAACTGGCCTCTTGCTGGACCTTACTCAGTCCTGAAGCCTGTGGGAGTAAGGAGTAAGGAGTAAGAGTGCTTGTGATATCAGGGGAAGAGATGTAATTCCCAAACCTACCTGGTATCTGAAACACGAGTTCGTGTTCTCTAAAATCGAAGAATGAATTCTAGGAACAATGGGGGTTAAGAGTAGGAAAAATTTATTGGGAGAAAGAAAGCTTCTGCCTAAGAGAGACAGAAGAGGGACCAGAAAGTGAGTTGCCTGCCCACCCCACTTTTCAAAGATGTTTTATACAGCAAAGCCATGTGGACAGGCGGGTACAAAGTGGCACAAAACTATAAGACCCAATGGAAATTTACAAGGTGGGCATGAGGTGGGACAAACCCATGACCAACCAATAAGATTACAAGTACAGTCACCCAGGTAATATTGAATAAATGGGGATCAAATGAAAAGACAAGTCACATGCAAGGAATTTCCCATTTAGAATATCAATCACTGCTTTCTATCTCTAGGGGAAGTAGTGCTTCTTTTCCTTTTTATAATGCTAACCAGTGAATGTGGCTCAATTGTTCTCCATGTTGGTTCCTTGCTATATTGTCTCCTGGAGGGCTGGTGCCTTAAGGGAGGCCTTGTCTACCTGCCAAGGAGATATCTAATTAACTTACCTATCTGCAATACTTAAGAGCCTCAGCTGCAGAGCAGGTGTCACAATCCTCCCTTCATTGGGAATCCAGAGGTGTCTGGCAAGTCTCTTGGCCACAGGCCTCCCTGGAGCCCAGAGCTCTTTGAAGAAAAGATTCTGGGAACAAGTGTAAGACCCAGGTGAGACTTAGCACAAGTAACACCATCTTGTTACAGGCCCTCCATCTTGTCCCTGTGGGTTTCGGGTTCACTAAAGGACACAGAGTTCCTGGAATGTACTTGTTTATCTGTTAAGACACCCTGGAATGTACCATTGTTTCTGTGTAAAGAACATCCTGTTAGATAAGTAAAGAACATCTACAAACTCCCCTAACCGTCCCCTAACTGCAAAAATTCCGCTTCTGTAGTTCTGCTTGCTAAGCACCCCTGCAGCCCCTATAAAACCTTCCAACCTCCTGAGCTTGGGGCCTCTCTAAGCTTATTGCTTGGAGGGTGCCATCTGGCCAGACTAATAAAGGTCTGTTTTTTTACCATCTCAGTCTGTCCCGTGTGTTCCCTCCCGGGTGATCCTCACTGCAGTCAGCTCCTTGGAGCATTTGGTAAGGCCCTCGGTCTTACACAAGGAAGCTGCTGCTCTTGATGAGAAAGTCAGAGGGGAGGAAAATGAGACTAACAAGACCTGAAGAGAACTGTCTGTGGGGTGAAGCGAATGCTAATGGCTCTGCTCCCAAGCTTCAGAGTCGGAGCTGGGTAGGAGCACACACAGATGCCTTAGCTGTCACCTACCAAATACTTTCCAAGGACTGAGCCTGGCAGATAACCATATCCTGATTTTCCTGGATCAAGAAGCAGGACCAGGGGCCGGGGACTTAGCTCAGTGGCGCTGTTGCCTGCCTGCAAGCGCAAGGTCCTGAGTTTGATCCCTGGTACTGCAAAAAAAAAAAAAAAAAGAAGAAAAAGAAGCAGGACCTGCTGAGACAGAGAAAAGAGAAACTGTTGGGAGATTGTAGGCCTGGCCCAGGTAGTTGGGGGTCTAACTTCTCTCCTCTGTATGGGTCCCAGAATTAGGTGCAAGGAAAATGACAGGAAGAGGAATGGCTCTCACTGAACAAATCCGGCTAACACTTGCTTCTAAATGCTAGCTTCTGGGGACTGAATTGTGTGGCCCAAAATTCATATGTTGAAGCCCTGATCCCCAATGTGATGGTACTGGGAGATGGGGAATTTAGAAAATGATTTGGTTTAGATGAAGTAAGGGTGGGGCCCTCACGATGGGATTAGTGTCCTTAGGGGAAGAGACACTGGAGGGTGCTCACTTGTATGCTTTCTCTCCCACTTTTTGCTCCCAACTCAGATTTATAGCTTCCTAAACTATTAGGAAGTAAATTTCTGTTGTTTAGTCTAGTTGACAGTATTACAGCCACCCAAGCTCGCTAGTGCAGTAGCTGTAGTAGATGCTGAGACCCCACTGGAACCTTCTTAACCACATCAGTGTATTCCCAGCTGCTGTGTTGGCTTCAAATGGTTCACAAATGCCCCTTTCTGCAGAAAATTGCTCCTAGTGTATGGGACACTGTTCCAGTGACCTCTGTAGCTTCCAGCTAAGGAAGTACAAAGGCAAACCCTTTTTCCTCAAGAAAGCATTGATTCTTTGGTGCCATCATACACCTCAATTCCCCTGTGGTATCAGCTGAGGCCAGACACAAAGCTGCAAACAACTTTCCTTCCACCCTTTCCAGCTTCCTTCATTGTCTCAACAAATCACATGACTGGAATCCTATCTCAGGCTCTGCTTCTAAAGAGCCTGACCTAAGAAACCTCTCCTAAGTGATAGAATACTGAGCAACTCAAACAATTGGGGAGAACTCTGTGAGGACAGTGATGATGATTAATACCCAGTGACAATGAGCATTAGGACAACAGCTTCTGTTCTTTGGTCCAAAAAGCTTAGAATAAAAGTCTACTGCCAAAGATGGCGGTGGGGGAGGGGGTGTTTTAGCAATAGATAGCTCTTTCCAGAGGCATCTGGCAAACAGCTGTGTTAGCCAGAGTGTAAATAGCCTTGTTAGCATAGAGCCACAGGGTGAGATTCCATGGTCTTATCCAATAAAGGAAGCATCTTGACTGCAAGAACCCTTGAACCATGAAGAGACCGAAGTCAGGCAGGTAGGGTTGAGTTCTCTGAAGGGAGAATCCTAGCACCTTCCAGGGAAGCACTCAGCCTCAGGGGCTTCAGGTAATTGGTTCCTGTTACCCCTCTGTTTTGCTTTGTTCAACATGTTGGCTTCTTTATGATGCTATCTTGTTCTTGGGGGATTTTGTTTTCACTATTTTATAATAGTGCCCTTTGGTTTCCCTCTCTTTTCCTTTCTGGCCCTTGATTTCCTCTCTGAGTCCAGCTTCATCATTAGGACTGTGAGATCTGGATCTGGCTACATCTTGGGAGGTGGAGGATGGCTGGATTATTATTCTTCCAAGAAAGCCAATCTCTGATTACCTTAGAATTTAACTTCAGTGCACTATTAAGCTGAAAGATACACTTCCACTAGCAGTGAGGATGGAGAAGACAAAGTGTAGAGAAACTTTTTCTGCCAAGGCACTGACCAACAGTTATACTTTGGCCCATTAATTTTCATAGTGGCCCCCAGGGAAACTGTGACAGCACACAGTAGATGCTTATCAACATGATCCCAAAGATTTAGAGACACACGTCTAATATCCATAAGCTGTTCATGTGACTATATCTACAGTGAGAGTGGCTCCTGATTATTTGTTCTCAAGAGATCTGGAATCTTCCATTCAGATCTAGAGGTGAAGAAGAGTATTTTGGACAATTCTTATCTATTTCCACAAAGTTTTTTCCCAACATATTTTGTGGGAACAAATAAAATAGTGGTTGTAGAAGGATCTTATCACAGAAAGACAACTGAAAGGCAGCTTTCTTCCATAATCTCTTCAGAGGCTTGGAGCGATGAATGGGAGTTTGAGGCCAGCCTGGGCTACTTAGTGAGTTCAAAGCCAGCCTGAGCTACATAGTGAGACCATGTCTCAAAAAAGAAAGAAAAAGAAAAAGGAAATGACTTTCCAAAAAAGGGCAGACTTGCTTTGGGAAAACTAGATTCATGGGTACAAGTGGTGCCTCAGAGTACAGACTTATCCCCATTTCTTGGCTTTGCTTGCTCCTTTGCTTCTTTCTTACACAAGATCTCCACACCTGGCACTCAGGTCACCACCAGCAACCCCAAACCTGTGCTACTCTTAGAACTCATTATTCTAGAGGTGAGTTCCCTCTGTATTTCCCCACTGTTCCCACAAAAGCTCAGAGAGGACTGTGATTAGTCTGGCTTGAGCTTTATGTCCTTCTCTGAACCAGTTGCTGTACCCAAAGGTGTTTAGTAATCCAGGGTGCTAGGCCTGGGGTCATGTCTTTACCCTGAAGTTGTGCGGAGGATCTGGCTGCTCCTTGGACTATCTAAAGAGAATGATCCCCTAAGGAAGGATGCTTTGGGAGGAACATGTGTCCACTATGACAAAAGGTCAATTTACCTTTTTGACTATAGCTAATTCAAATGAAATCGCTTAGGAAACACTAATTATGGGTTCATCCATCACAAATGGCACTTTCTTTTTCTTTTTTGGGGGGGGTACTGGGGATGGAACTTGGGTCCTTGCACTTGCAGGGTAGGCAGCAGAACCACTGAGCTAAATCCCCAGCCCCACAAATGGCACTTTCTAGACTGAGTTGTGGAGAAAGGCAAGCTCAGTATAAGATAGTATGAAATCAGTCATCTAGTCTGAGGAAGCTGAAGGTGTTGGAGAACCAAAAGGAGGAGGCAGTCTTGCCATGAACCCAAAGGTTGTGCCAGGAAGGGCAGCCTGGCACATAGTGGCACTTAGTTAATGTTTGTGGAATAGATTCTTGGAAAAATCCCTGATCAAAGAGGAAGGTGCAGGAAGCAGGAAGAACCATGAATGGAAGGCAGACTCCCATGCCAACTTGGAATTCATTCTATTTTTGTTTTTTGGGGGGAGAGATACTGAAGATTGAACCCAGGGTCTTTGGACTACATCCCCAGCCCATTTTTGAGATAGGGTCTGGCTTTGTAGTGTGGGCTGTCCTTGAGTTCACTGTGTAGCCCAGGCTGGCCTCGCACTTAGGATGATCCTCCTGCCTCAGCTTCCCAAGTGCTGGGGTTACAAGCACAGATTATACATCTGGATTTTTATTTTTTATTTTGAGACAGGGTCTCACTAAGTCACTAAGTTTCCCAGGTTAGGCTTGACTTGCAGCCTTCCTGATTTACCCTCGAAGAGTGCTGGGATTACAGACCTGTGCCACTAGCCCTGGATAGAGTTCACTTTTTGATCAAGCCTTGTTCCCATAATTTACCAGGTTGAACACAGCTTATACATTAGGATTTTCCAACAGTATAATTAAAGCTGTCGTTTTGTTGTCTTCATTCTAAATAGCTGGTAAAATGTAGGACTTTCTAGTGACTCAAGATGGAGACAAGGGAGGTGAAGGGCAGGCAGATGCTGGTCTCAGGGCCAGTGCGTTCAGAAACAGGCAGCCTCCTTCCTGGGAGTGGCTTTTAGACTTTGTGACATTGTAGTAAATCATCATAATTATAGACAATTGTCAGAA